ATACGTACAAGGAGTGACTATAATATCTAGGTGGACATATGAGGCCGAATCATTTCAGTCGAGCATTATCCAATCTGTATAAAGAATGCGAGGATTTGAAATATCGGCATCATTAATATTATACATAGTTATATAACTAGTTATGTAGTTATTTTATAATGTATCGAAACCCTTCTCGATTCTTTGTCTATTAACATCATATCGATATTTAATAAATTCAAAGGTATACATATATTCGTCGACAACTCGCTGCTTAAAAGAAATTGTTTTATATTTATGCTCATTGCAAAGAAACCATCGTCACTTTACTGTTGGAGCAAGATTTGAAAGTACATGTATTGTAAGCGTTCAATATAAGCCTCATAATATATACATGTATATTATAATAATGTCAATTTTCTGTCTATTGTAATACATATTATTGTTTAATTTCAGACTCTGCCATTGGACAACCGTGGTAAATACATCTCGTACTGGGGCCAGACGAGCAGTGCTGCGTCATCACCGGATATCCGTTGTCATCGCGATTGGTTACATTTACACATTATTATACGAATCAATTATTACTTAAACTTCGTAACCCATACATGAAACATTGAGATGAACATTTAATTGATATTTGTGTTAAAAAGTTAAGGCGAGTTAATTAGTATTTGTCTAATAAAAAAAAAATGTTTCCACAAAAAAAATAATCACTGACAAATTATATACACATTATTAAATTGAATCTATTAATCATAAAACGTATGCTGTCAGAACGTTTTAAGTAAGTACTTAAATGTATTGAATGGATTACATATCGTCGGGGATAGTGCTAATCCCCGTAATTATTTGGTACTAATTGTGAAAAAATCGTTAATTAGAAAATATTTCAGCTTAACCTTTCTTCTGACAATCTGTTTCCAACGTATATATGTATATATTTATATATCACCTGCAGGTAGATGTGTTCCGCCGCTCGTCACTCGTCCCCGGACGTGTCGGCGAGCGTGCTCATCACGTGACGTGACGCGCTGACTACTCGCACGTTTAGTGGCCACACACTACGTATTATTAATTAAGAGGCATACTACTGATTAAAATTTATTGAATGTGTGTTTTATTAGCAGTCCTTCAATACTATTATTCTTTTTATTTGTCAAATATAACTTGAAATGTCTTTTAAATAGTTGTAACAAAGTGCGATGTTTTAACTTTTTATTTATATTATTTATTTACTACGGTAAGGTAACTTAAATATTATTTTTAAAATTCAGTACATAATTGATTTGTTTATAATAACTATAGTAGGTAATATGTGTGTTACTATATAATAAAGATCCATAAAGTTATTGAGTTTCATTCCATTATTAAACTTTAATATCGAATATTTTTTGACCGAACTGGAAACAAGGAATAACTTTATTAGTTTCGTTTTGTGTCGTAAAGAATACTTAATATTTAAGTGTTGAACTATTTTCATTGAAGCTTAATAATTATATTGTGTTTATTAAATTATATGCGAAAAAAAATTCGTCACGTCTTCATTACCAACTTTAGCTTACATTATTTTCAAAATTATAGAGCGGTATACGTTTATGAAGTGTTAAGCGCTACAGAATTTTGTTCACATTAGTTAAATTAATATGATCAATATCAAAATTTGTATTTATGATTGATTGTTTTCATTTTCCTAACAAGCTTTCTGCCCGCGGCTTCGCCCGCTTGGAGTTCGATTATATCGCGTTTCCAAGAGAACTTATCAAAAGTCTGAGATAAAAACTATCCTATGTTTTTTCTCAAGGTCAACTCTACCTCTGTACTAAATTTCATTAAAATCAGTTCAGTGGTTTAGGCGTGAAAGCGTAACAGACAGACAGAGTTACTTTCGCATTTATAATATTAGTAAAACTTTCAACTAATGTGTCGTTGAATTGTAGTAATGTACTGGGCCAAAATAACACCATTGGACATGAGTCAACTTTGATGCCTTTTAATATATATTATGGTTTGCAAAAAATAATTACAAGAAATAAAGAAAAGAAAGCTTATTTATAAGACTATATTAATTAATTAGTTTTACTGCATAACAACGACTTTCATGTGAAGGGGTTTTGAGACGGCCTTGTATGGGGCTTTCCCACTGTGCGGCGACCGACGACCGACGGCAGCGGCGGCGATGCAGAGTAAGTACTCTTCGTTATTTATTTTAGATATTTATTCGTTAAAAGGAACTTTAACTTCAAAAGCCAATTTTTTTTAAATTGATTCACCCAAAACTTATAAACATGATGTTCCTAGGTTGAGTGGTTAAAATTTTATATACAAAAAGTTTAGCTTCGTAGTTACCGTTCTGTTCCGTTCGAATTTCGAGAATTCCGTGTGTAGAATTTCACCCCCACGGTGGTAAAGATAACAAACGATTTTAAAATTTGAAAACGCTAGAACAAATTGTTTTTTCTCATCAAGTTCCTAAATATAAAGTTTCATGTTTTTATCCCCAAAAATGACAAAATCCCATACAAACTTTCAACCTTTATTTCATCCCCTCACTGGTTGAAATTTCAAAAACGCTAAAACAAATTTATAAATATATCCTATCAAGTGCTTAAATATAAAGTTTGATGGTTTTATCTTTTAAAATTAAGATATCCCATACAAACTTTCAACCCTTATTTGACCCCCTCACTGGTCGAAATTTCAAAAACGCCAGAACAATTGTTTAAATATATCCTATCAAGTGCTTAAATATAAAGTTTCATGATTTTATCTTTTAAAATTAAAATTCCCATACAAACTTTCAACCTCTTCGTCCCCTTTTTCGCAATAAAAGGTAGCCTATATCTCAGGGTCTAAAGTTTGTCTGTGTCAAATTTCATCAATATCGGTTGAGAGGTTTAAGAGGGAAAGTATAACAGACAGACAGACAGAGTTACTTTCGCATTTATAATATTAGTTGGGATTGCCTCCCCCCGTACCCCAGTGACGCTTACATGGAGCCTACATCGCATGCTGACTAGGTGAGCGTCAACCACGCGACTTTTTTCTAATACTTGCATTTTTAAACTTGTGATATCTTCCGAATGAAATGTCCGAATTGAATAATTCAAAGAGTTATAAAAAGGTATTAAAGCCGTCTTGAATATAAAGTAATTTATTTTGATAAGGTTTAATACCAAGGTACAAATAAAGAGCCTTTTCAGGCGGCGGCATATAAATTAATTTTTTAGAATAAAAAACCGCTTATTTCAACATAACTATAATATTTAGACATATGCTGTCGCGACACTTTTTGTAGATAATGATGATTTCTGTAAAGTTGTAGTAAATGATTTTGTTCTATAATCAATAGTTTTCGCAGCGCACGCGACGTAAGGAATTTTTCAGATCATTTTGTTACACTTTGGGTTACAATACCGGAGTTTTAGTAAGGATCCCTAATTTTTTTTTTAAATATAATATAGCCTATATTACTCGGGAATAATGTAGCTTTCCAAAAGTGAAAGAATTTTTGAAATCGGTCCAGTAGTTTCGGAGCCTATTCATTACAAATAAACAAACAAACAAATCTTTCCTCTTTATTAATATAGATGAAAACATTTAAGGATCGGATTGTATTTGTGAAAAGATATGGTCGTCAAGCATAAAGGCTCAAGATTTTGGATATCTGGTATTTTTTACAAAAATTATATGTTTACAATATCAATTTGTAAACCTTATGGCTTACACTGATGCTTTTCATTCAATTATGTATAGGTACTTAGTCCAAATTTTAATTGCGGTAAAATATATTTTATATTAACAAAACCTGTGAAATGTTTAAAGGGGGTATCAATAAAACATCAGGCTTGTGTTTATACTGCTGTAGTAAACTCATTTGTTATCACATTTATTTTAATAATATATTTTGACACACATATTGTTACGTACTAGTATTGTATTTCCATCCGTTTTCGCAATGGTTTTAAATCTTGTTACAAAGTATCGGATGTTCTACTCCAATGACGAGCATTTCTGGAGGTTGGACATCGCGAAAACGGAATATTGAAATATTGTATCTATGAAGAAACGACAACACTAAAGTAGAATAGAAGTAAGTGTAGATAATGCAGTACGAAGTCGCCGTCTGGTTATATGTATATGCTGGTGCTGAGACGGTGGGAATGGGATTCAGTAGGCACGTAATAATGATAGTTAATAAATTTATATATCTCTTATGTTATGTAGAAATTAGAATATTTTCTGTCATACATACTAATATATCGAAATAGTAAGCGTAAATTGATTGAACGATGTCAATCTTCAGTCATAAATCAGAATAATATATATTTTTTAATCTAGGTTTATAATTACATATAACGTATTTCATGAGCGTTATCGGAAAGCTAAAGAAAAATTCATTTAAGTTAAGCTGCAAACAACATATTTCAAGTCTTTACTGAATGTTTACCTGAACGTAGAAATCATTAATAACTCCCACATATGCACCGTCTTTTGTTCTCATCTCAATAGGATGGAATCCTGTTATGTGGACTCCGTGATAAACATCCCGTAAGTCTGATTGCATTATCATTCTATTTATTCCTTCATGAGTAGCCAATGACAATCTCTCATATTCTTTTGTCCGATAAATTCTTATGGAATTTGATCACCTTGTTGTCTCTAGATCCTAGTCCTTATCTTACTGAGTACGTGTATGTTGCTAAAATTGAGCATATTTCAAATATTATGTTAAAATAGTTAAAATACTAACTGATTTTGTATTTTTAGTATAATAAAAAATAGTAATATCTTACGTTTACACGGTCGATCTGGGAACATTCTAGCGAAACCTGGTCTACACACGCACTTCATAACACTATCGATCCTCTGGCATCTTTCATTTCTCGAAGCTTTACAATCTGGTTGACATTCTTTACCATATCCTATACCAGTGAAAATTTATTCATTTAAATAGAATATAGTATAAAATTAAAGCGACAACTAGTAGACTAGTTCTAAAGCAATTTATATTTGATCAGTTAATACTTGCCTGTTGGATGAAGTACATTAGTCGTTTCTAGGTATGGCGCTCCCGCGAGCAATATTTCACCGAACAATACCTGTGATACTCCATTATTAGTCACTTGTTCGTTCCTCGTGACCCCGTCATAATCACCAGCCTCTGTATCAGTGTTAATAGGGGGTGACTTACCACCATTTTGTGATTTATTCATCACTACAAAGAATGTGTCATTGTCTTTATTTTGTAGAAATTTAATTTTGTATTAGCTAAAAATAATTAACTATAGTCACAAAATTATTGCATATTAATTAATTAAATATTATATAATTATTTATATTTATATAATTTAAATATTATATAATTTAAATAATTAAATTAACCTGCCAAGTTCAAATTAGAAGTATTATAATTATAGATATTTTTAACCAAGCACCTACGTATTTTCACAACTATACCATATTTTAAGTTGGGTGTATGGTAAAGTGAATTTCGGCCAGATGGACCGTTGACGTGAATAAGGTGGCGGGTAGTGGCTGGATGTGGAAGGCAGAGGACTGGGTGTGGTGGCGAGTCTTGGGAATGGCAAATGTTTACCAGTGGATCATGCTGTTGATGAAGATGATTATGATCGATTTCAAAGTGCATCTAAACTTGGCATTAGATTGGATTTCAACCCTTTTTTAGGCAAACAATTAGCCGATTGGTACTTGGCCCCCTTTTTAACTGACATGTTTTTGGTGAGATTTCAATACTTTTTTTCAAGAAATCGTACCTAAACAATAGAAACCTGATTTTTTAGGTAAGCAATATTTAATTAAGTTATACAGTGTGCATTATGAATACACGACAATATTTTATATCCGTTATACAGGGTGACTGGTGAATTACTATCAATATTTAAAGAGCATACTCGGTACATGATTCTCATTCGAATTATGTAAAAAAAATAGGTACTTAATTTTTGACCAAATTTCCGTATAAATAAATAAAGTGTGGACACGTTCCAAGTGTGGACGCGTGCGGCGGCATGCTGATACAACACCACGCCACCGCACGCGTGTGTGTGTGTGTGTGTGTATACCTAATCTGTAGGGTGTTCACACGATGCGTAATTAATTACATAACTTTTGGTTAACTTTACTTAGAAGTTTTTAATATTTATGTTATATTAATTTTTATTTTGTCATATATGATCGTCAAATATCACGTCCTCAAGTATCGATAATAATTCACCAGTCACCCTGTATATATCAGTTCTTAAGAAGCGCCCCACATTTTTTTTCACAATAATATTAATTTAAAAATAAATTAACAAACAATAAATGGTATTTTTGTGAAAAAAGCGTGATGAGCTTCATATATCAGTTCTTGAGAAGCGCCCCACGCTTTTTTTCAATAATACCATTTATTGTTTATTTTAAACAATTTAAATTAAATTGATTTCCAAGGTTGTAAAGGTTAAATTAGTTTCCACGCGGTTTCTTTCATCATTGTAGCGTGTTTTTTAGTTTTTTTTTTTAATCTAGATTTATTTTTTAGTTTCATTTATCACCGATTGATAGATGTACTCATATTATTAATTATTAATATTTAATTATTATGTATTTTATTGTGCTGAGCTGAGCGCCTATATAAAGGTTTTGATTACCTGTCAGTGAGTCAGTGCCAAAATTAGCTACTTTCACAGTTTCATATTTCAGGATGTACTGAAGCTTTATCTATGAAATTTGGCATACTGCTTTAGTACTAGTATATGATTACGTAGGTACAATTTTATCTCTGTACTTGCAATAGGCACTGAGCTACAGGGGGGTCAAAAGTGGGTCGAAACGGTTCGTGTAAATATAGTGCACGGCATGCGCGCGGCCTGTGGAACTTGGCCGGCGCACTACCGTGCGCTTAGAAAATGCATATAATTTAATAGTGTGTTGATGTAGTTCTGAAAGAATTTTTCTTTTCAGATCTCTTTCTATGATTCCAAAACCGACGTCAAGTTCTAGCAAAACGAAGAAATAAATACTGATGCATACATATTCTCTTTATAATAATGCATTTTTACTATTATCGGCTTAGGCTTAGCAAATGCACACTATTTGCTATTACAAAATGTTAAAGAAAAATCTTTACAATACTTGAAATGTGACGCTTCAGGATGTTTACGTAAACCATAAAAATGAAAAGACAATACTCGTACATATGAAGGATTTTACAATTCTCTTTCCCGGATCTAACATTAATCTATCCGGTGAAAAATTTCTATGTATTTTCTTATAATTGTACCGTCGTATATTCGACATCGGTCCATATTACTTGACCCGTTAACCTCTATAGATAACTTAGCTTTATAGTCTTGAAAATAACCGCTTACATGATGTTAACACTGTAGAAATATCAAATAATATTAAGATTTAAATTAAGTGCAAGTATCTGATACTAACAGTTTTGATATTGTTATATTAGAAGCATAATGATCGGTTAATGAAACTAACATTCTCGCTATGACGAAATATGTTGGCTCGTCTTTTTATGGGTCAATAAAAATTGGTTTCGATATTTGCACAACTTCTGATAAAATTAGATAGATAGGTACAAAATGTATTATTATATATTGGTTTTCACGTTCAGTATCACTGACGGACAGTATAAAATCAATCTAAATTAATACCATTTAAAATTTAAATATTTTTAAATGAAACTTCATAAAAAACTAACACATTATAATTTTATATACGTTTTATGTTTAGATAAATATTAAGTTGATTTGATCGTCGAAATACTATGTACGGCAACGCTTGCTCACATCGTTTTTCAGATATATATAAATGTATGTATAAAGAATGGTATCATGAGGAATGTAATAAAAAAAGGTTTGAGACTGAAGCACGTAAGACCTAGAATTGTTAGAATAACAAGCTTGAACATTCGCTGGCGTTAGAGCCAAGCAGAACGCTAGGATAAATTAAATAGTTAAAATTGATTAAGAAATATGTGTGCTTGATTATAATATTACATAATTTTAAATGAATCATCGCTGTATTAAGTTTTAAGATCTATTTAGTTGCTATTGTTTCCTTGTATACAGGGTGACTGGTGAATTACTATCAATATTTAAGGAGAATACTCGGTACATGATTCTCATTCGAATTATGTAAAAAAAATAGGTACTTAATTTTTGACCAAATTTCCGTATAAATAAATAAAGTGTAGACACGTTCCAAGTGTTCCAAGTGTGGACGCGTGCGGCGGCGTGCTGATACAACAACACGCCGCTGCACGCGTTTGTGTGTGTGTGTATACCTAATCTGTAGGGTGTTCACACGATGCGTAATTAATTACATAACTTTTGGTTAACTTTACTTAGAAGTTTATTGATATTTATGTTATATTAATTTTTATTTTGTCATATATGATCGTCAAATATCACGTCCTCAAGTATCGATAGTAATTCACCAGTCACCCTGTATATTATTAATGCTAAATATTCTATCGATAAACAAAAATATTATTGATTATTGAATAAAAACGCTATGTCTCATATTTAATTGGTTGTTTCATTTACTTAACCCATATTATAAGCTGTAAAAAAAAATAAAGAAAGATATGTTTATTTAATATTTTTTATTTAGAAATAGCAAAAGAATAAATTATAATTGTCATAAAATACAGAAATAATTTAAGAATAATACAATTACATATGTATCATAACTAGGGCCCGGATAAGTATGTATTAAAAAATCTAAAATATGTACATAAAATATGGACGAAAAAAATCAAAAATATGGAAAAAATATGCAGTATAAAATTAAATACTTTCATAATTAAACTCGGAACTTTCGCACAGAATTTTGTTAATTTTTTAGCGTCTAAAATCCTTTACTTTTATCCAAAACATTAGTGGCGGGAACGTAAATTTTATGTATTTTGTGAATATATGGATGATTGTGACATTTTCTTGTAAAATATGGACTTAACTTTGAAATATGGTAAAATATGGAAAATAAAAGTTGGTTGTTCAGTCCAAATATGACAATCCATGTAAAAAACACATTCTAGACCAAAAATCGCGTAAATTAAAAATATGTATTTAAATATTAATCCGGGCCCTATTGACATCATATACATATTGTTTACAATAACTTCTTAGCATTCTCATTCATTTTATAATATTAAGCTTAGTTTGTGCAAGCCAATTGAGTTAAATAATAAAATTAATTCAATTTGATATTTCAATAAATAATTATCCAACATTCGGTCTTGATTAATATTTTTGTGACTAAGTTGCGATAGTATTAATTACTACCACGATTTCAGCTACATGGATGTATGTTACATATGTATAAGTGTGATTGACCTCTGGTATACAGTCAGGGTGTGTGATCATGGCCACTATGTCGTCTAGTGGCAGCAGACTGTGACACTTGATCTCCGTGTACACGTTCTTCCCGAGGGTACAGCATGTTAACAGCTTTATGAGGTCTATGTGGTACCTGCAAGAAATATATACATAAATATTATTAATTATATGTAATATTAAGTGCATATTTATATTAGATTGTCAAGAAGCTATCGATAAACCTTTCTTGCATATATATCTTACGCTGTTGTACCTTAATAATGTATACAAATTCGACCATTAAAGTAATGAAAATTGGGTTGGTTTATTTTGTTTTCACACTTTTCGTAATTAATGCATAATTATTTTAAATCCTTATTAAATGCCAGAGCAAGAATATAAATTTTGAAATGATCATATAATGGCATATATATTACGTGAGAGCTTCAGGCATCTCTCCCGTCTGTTTGTACTCCCTCATCATTTTGATGAAGTAGTTGAAGAGTACTTTATCATTGTAGAACACCAGCACGTCCTCGCCGGCATTCAGCATCTATAATGAAACATGAAGTACGATTAAATATATGTATTATATGTACCTTAGTACAAGTATGCGTCGTTTAACTAAATACTGAGCGTTTCCGAGTTTCCATTCATGAACTCAAATGATAGAATAGATATTTACTAACGAAGATAGATTTATTATTGAACAACAGAGAAAAAATCGTGTTTACATAATACATTGACGACATAAGCATGTGATATAACATAACTATATTACTGAAAATAGAATTTTATGTTAGGTAATATTTGATAGAGGAGCTTTAAAAATGGAGGTGAGCGTTTAATGCGCCTTAGATAGGGACCTCTTAAACCTACACCTGGGTCACAAGTCCTAAGAGCTATTGAAGCTCCTCTCACTACAACGATAGACTCGCTACCACGGGAAATCATGGAATTTTAAGAGGTTTCGTCTCTTAAAACCATGCATGCTATGATGGGTGAAGGGAGAGGAACTTACTTCTTGCATGACCAGGTCCTGGCTCCTCCGTATATGGTGAGGTCCCGCTCGTACTATAGTTCTCAGAAACTTGAGGCAGGCGGGCCTCCGTCCGCGGGATTCGATGCAGTGTACGAAGTGCGCGGCGACCTTCTCGTTCCCTTCGTGAGCGCACAGAACTGCGTTCTCTTCCAATATCGAGCACACCGTCTGGGCTTCGCGGATCTGATGTAAAAAGTTGTCTGAATAAAACTACCGTTTTGATGCTTTGATCGCTGGCTATACTATAATTGTAAAACAATAATTTAGCGCTATAGTATATATATAATAATAATAATCAGGTTACATTTACCTTGCATATGTTACTTATTTGTTAGATTGTGCACTTTTTATTAATTTCCCGGAAAACCCTAAAAACTGTGCTTTTTTATTTCCCATACAAACGGTTTTTTTGACATTAGATTTTACAACTAACTATGTAATATGTCAATCATTCTGTCGCACTTCAAAACACGGAGATTTATGGCTTAAAGATAAACTCCAAAAATATAAATTAAAAAACGTAACAGATATTTCTGGATTATTATAGAGCGATACGAAGTTCGCTGGGTCTTCTAGTAAAATATAAATGTCTTGAGATGTCAAAGTAACTGTGAGTTAACGACGATGAATTCCAGTGTACGGAAAAACTAATATTGGTTTATGAAACACTGTGAAAACTTAGACATGTATGTAAAAAAGACCAACTAATTGTAATAATAATTTTAATAAAATACGATATTAAACAAAATAACAGTACAATTGTTTATATTCAATAGCCTGTTCTTACTCCAGCGTTGAGGAACAGATCCAGGTGTTTGTGTAGTATGGCCTGGTTCTGTGTGTTCCCGTGACAGAAGTGCTGGAGGAACTCGTGCGCCAGGCCCAGCAGCTCGTCCATAGCAGCGTCGTCCTCATCGTGTGGCACCTGGAAATAATTGATTACAGAATATATTTATAACGTACAGCAGAAAATTATTCATGAGTGTAGGTATAGCATATTTCCGGAAACAGTTTTGTAAAAGCAACAATGGCTTTTAAGTGAGAAGATAAAGAAAAAACTTAAAAAAGCAGTAACATTTACTTTTCCTGCACTTCAGCATTTTAGTATTTAGTATTATTGGTTTTATTATTACAGCAAGGAGCTAAGACTTGTATTGAAGTCCAAATAGAAAGAACTATTAATTATTGACGTGACTAGTAATGAAACCTGCCACCCTTGAGAATACTGTTTTACATTTGTGATATATATAAATACATACATACACATATATAGGGTTTAAATCCTGCTCGTATCGATATATTGTTTTAACTGCTCCTCCACCCACCTGCAGCAGGTCCAGCACTACATTATGTACTCCTATATTCCTCAGTAGCCTCTGTTCGTGTCTCCGCGGTCTCGAGTCGCCCCCCCCCCCCCCCCCCTCCCTCGCCGTGTTGCCCTGGGTACAGTACTTGATCATACGTTCCAGGATCTGTTTTATACAATGTTTAAATTTATTTATTTAAAAGGTACATCAACATCACACATATTCAGCACACATAAACAAAGATAAAATAGAAAAAAAATCTAGGACCTGATATGAGTGACAATTACAGATGTACACAACATTCACGCAAAGCAAAAAAATAAATCTTATTGTCTACCTGTTGAATTTAGGTGATAATTAAATAAAAATTTAAAAAAAAATTATTTAATATCTTATGTATTATCAACAAAAACAACTTGGAAGTTCTGTATTACCAATTATGAATTAACGATATTATGTTATAATAAAATGACTGGGATCCATCAAATTTGAACTTATAACTTGTTCGATACGGTATCCAAGTCACTATGTCGACTGTGCTACTGAGTATTTATTAAAGTTGACGAATAAATTTTTACATCAACTTATCATTTGTAGTGACTGAGAGATTGAAGCGCCAATTTAGATGAATAGATATTATGCTAGCGCCATTGATATAAATGCAACTTAAGTCAACTACTGACTTAAGTGGCCTAGTGGTTAAAAGGCCCGCCTCTCGTGCACGAGGGCGCGGGTTCGATCCTGGCAAGTACCAATGTGATTTTTCCGAGTCATATATACTTTCTAAGAGTATTTAGACATCACTGATTTATGCATTCCCAAAATAGAGTTGATGTCAGGCAGGCGGCCGGTCGTAAGAACAATTAGCCAAAACTATTCACAACATGTAAGGCAGACCCTGGCTAAAAGCTGGGAAATTGCCGGGTAGAAGATATGATATAAATGCAATATTTATTTTGTACCTCTTTAATCTTATCGTAGTCCTGTCGATCTCCTCTCGGTGCTCGCACGTTGTCTAAGGACGCGTTTCGCTCCAACACCGCCCCGCCAGGACATACGGCGCCTTTTATATCTAGAAAAGTATTGATTTATATATGTTTAATAATATTTATATATTTTTTGAACAATATTCTTTCATCATCTACAGGTGATCCTAATATTTATCTACAAGTTATACAGTCCTAAGTATGTAGATACCACTATTTCATGATGTATGAATGAATGTTTGTTTTTTATGTTATGTTTTAGATATAGAAAATTTATAAAATATCTTAGAACTGCAGATATATATGTATATGGAATAATTTTTGCCGGTATATGCAGGACAATTCGAAAAAGTTGAAACTTTGAATTTATTAATTTGATAACTATATTAAATTCTCACCGCTGTGATCATCTATAATCCCGGCGCGTCCCTTATTGAACACCCACAGCTCCGACTTCTCAACGCTCTGTCTCAGTATGTCCAGGTCGGCCTTGATCTGTTTGTAGGACTCCACGTCCGCGTCAGACACTAAAAGTTGGACCTGAACGGAATATAACGATAAATATATTATAGTCTACAAAGATTACATTAAAATCTCACAGATATGATGAGAAACTACGTAGGATCTCTTTTTGTTGACTTCATTACTTGCATTTATGAGTTATCTTGTAAAATATTTAATATGCTAAGGTATGTTGATATAATACTAATCCTACTAATATTATAATTGCGAAAGTTTGTGAGTGTGTGTGTGTATGTTTGTTACTTCTTCACGCTAAAACAGCTGAACCGATTTTGATAAAATTTTGTATACAGAAAACTGACGTCCAGGAATAACACATAGGCTACTTTACATCCCGGAAATCTGCGGGTAATACCGCGGAGCGCAGCTAGTTAATTTATAAAGCGGACCTGCTTAAAAGCCTCCAAAACTTCTTGTCTCTGACTGAAATGACGGAATAGCAGCGCTAGGGCTCCTGAAACGAGACTGGCCGAAGCACCCTGGGAACACAGCTGCAGCAGAACTCTCAACACCATACGACCGCCGCAAGCATCCAGGTCTAAACCGTCTCTGAAATTTAAACCTTATTGTATCAATATTAAGATTTCAAATATAATATCATATGAGAAACGCACAAATCACAATAGGATTATAAGCGTTATGCCTAAAAAAGAATCGCTTTTCGGGTAACGGGTTTTTCTAAATCAAAATAAACAAAGGTTAGAATTATACAGAAAACACTTCACAATAACTTAAATCTTTCCGATAATAGGATGTCGATTTTATTGTAATAGCTGTAAAGTATAATATCGCTTGCTGCGGTTGGAGAGGTAACACTAGTTAGTCCTAGTAATGAGGATTTTATTTCTCGCAAAAAAATATTAAAGCTTCTTGGGACAAAACATGCGTAACATACAAACTATTTTATTCTAACATTTCCTTAATTGTACGAAGTCCATTTCAGAATCTTGTAATGGAAATTATTCAATACCTTTTTATTCGAATAATTAAGTTAAGGAAATACAGAAATATCAGATGTCCACATATAAGCAAAGAAATCATAGCATCATACATGCGGTTAATAGCGGTACTTTCATCATGCATCATGCAATAGATTTCAATCTTACTAACAAATCTACATTTTTTGGAAGACAGTTGTCAGGCACAGTCTGAATTGCTCTGAAATAATTGTTAATTTATTAATACCGATCGCCAGTATGACGAAATAAGAATTAAATGGTTTTTCTTATCTCAAAGTGCTTCCTATGATTTTAATTCCCAATTATAGATAAACCGATGAAAGATAATTTAGAGCTAATGGTAATTTATCTAGTGTGAAAAAGAAAAATAGTAAAAATTTGATGTTTTCAAATGAATCTAATAGAAAGAAATTTACTGATTAATTTGTAATTGTTTAATAGAAGCAAGAAGTGTTCGTAATAAATACTCATAAAAGTAGTACTAATAAGAAATGGATGAAAAAAAATTCTACAGACCGCATGTTACTATCAACCCGCCACCGATTAGTTACAATAGTACAACCGACATCTACATGAAATTATACAATACAATATAACACCACGTGTGAACATTGCCAACGAAACGAGATAAATTTTATAAACATTTTAATATAATGATACTGAACCGAATAAAATCACACATGTATGTGATTAAATTTATAAATGTTCGAGTAAAAATTTAAGTTGAATGACTTTCT